CTTTTGTTCATGAAATGAAAGTAATCTTGTTACTTAGAACTTGCAATTACTTACAATGCTTATACAATGATGGTTATGTTGACATCATGTGCACAAGTAGTTTGGGCAAGAATTAGTTTTGTTCCTCCAGCATGGGAGTAAGAATAGAAGTTTAAAAGGCTATGGCTCCGTTTGGATTAGTTGTTTTTGGGGTTGTTTTTCAAAAACAGCACTGTAGCATTTCGTTTTTGAAATACAAGCCCGTTTGGATTAGTTGTTTTAGGGTTGTTTTTCAAAAACTATAAGAAAACTTTTACTGTAGATGTTTTTTGGATTATTTTTAGAGGTATTTTTAAAACATATTTTTGAGTATTTTTATAATTTATAATTTTTATATTTATATATAATATTGTATTTATAATACATTTATAAATATTTATAAATAAATATATTTATATATTTATATAAATATATATAAATGTATTATATTATATATAATACATAATATAAATATATTTATAAATGTATATTATTATAAATGTATAAATTATAAATGAATATTATATAAATGTATAAATTATAAATTATAAATTATAATTTTTATATAAATATACATTTATAAATTTATAATACATTTATAAATAAATATATTTATATATTTATATAAAAATATATAAATGTATTATATTATATATACTACATAATATATAATATATTTATAAATGTATAAGTGTATATTAATATAAATGTATAAATTATAAATGAATATTATATAAATTATAATTTATAATTTATAATTTTTATATAAATATAAATTTATGCATTTATGATACATATATAAATAAATATATTTATATAAAAATATATAAATGTATTATATTATATATAATACATAATATAAATATATTTATAAATGTATAAGTGTATATTATTATAAATGTATAAATTATAAATGAATATTATATAAATGTATAAATTAATATATTATAAATATATATTAATATTATGTATAAATGTATTAATATAATTAATATAAATGTATAAACGCATTAATATTATGTATAAATTAAAATAATATTATGTATATTAATATAAATGTATAAATGTATTATATTATATAAAATACATAATATAAATGTATATTATAATTATACATTAATATATATTATGTATAAATGTACATTTATAGAAATGTATAATATATATAATATATAATATATATTATATTACATATAATTTATATAATTTATATAATATATAATATTTACATAAATATATTATAAATATATAAAAAATTTTAAATAAAATAAAATATTTATAATATGTATAAATAAATATATAAATATTTAATATATATTATATACATTAATATTAATTATAAATATTATAATATTATAAATGTGGTGTTTATATAATATTTCAATTTGTAATATTTATTGTACATTTCATATAAATATATATAATATATAATATATAATATATAACATATAAATATAATATACATATAATATACATAATATTGTATATATATAATATAATATACAATACATAATATACATTTATACATTATTACATATTATGTATATTATATATTATACATAACATTATTATAAATTATTATACACAATAATGTACATAATAATATTATACATTAATAATGCATATATTATAATATATTGTACATAATATATTTGATATAAATATTTATACATTTATGTATACAATATTACATATTATGCATATTATATTATGTATAATATTAATGTATATAAATATTTATATAATATATAATATATAAATATATAATTTTCAATTTGTATATTTCAATTTATATTAATATCTATATATATATAATTTACATAATTGAAATATACATATGGAGTTGTTTTTGATATGATGTTTGGATATGGTGTTTTTGGAGTTGTTTTAGAAATACACATTTACTGTAGCATTTGGAATGTGAAAAATAATTTTTCAAAACAAGGGCAAAAACAAGATAAAAAATGTTTAAATTGGATGCATTGCTTTACATACGGTTAAGGTAACAAAAACTTCCCCCAAGACGCATTTTAGGATAGTTAGTCAAGTGTCTGTTAGATTTCTGATTTGACTCTTGAGTCCTTTCTCTTCCCCCGCTTTCATATTCCTTCCTTTTCTCCTTCCTTTTTCTTGTAAGATTTGGAGGTTTTGCTTGAGCCGAAAAATATTTTGAAAAAAAGAAACTAATTTACTCACTCCTTTTTAATCATTTCCAAATATTGTGTTGAACATCCAAAAAAGTGACGACAAAGAAGAAAGTAACCAATTAGGGTGTGATCAGATCATATTAATTTACAATTTATACAATTTTCTTTACTAGCATGTAGGAGTTTCCCTGAAGTCTTCTTTTTTTTTTTTTTAATGACGCATATATATTCCATAACCGTTGATGTCTTTCATATATACTTTAAAGTTTCAGTAAGCTCTGCTCAATGACTTGTATAACAATCTTATATGTAGATTTAAAGTAACAAAATTATTAAGTTTATTATGTTTAATCGTCTTTTTATGTAGGTTGTGTTGATGTATTTACACTTGAAAATAAGCATCAGCATCAGTGACGGATTCAAGCTTTTACATTAGTTGGAACGAATCATCAATGAATATGTATATATTTTTTGTTTTCTTTGTCTTTGATTTCCTAGGTAACATATACAGTGTTACTTTAGTTACTATTTTAAAGTTGTAGTTATCAAAGAAACTAAGAGTTGGTTTGTCAATGTAAACACAGCAAAAGTGAAATATGCTTTCCAAGTCTGATATTGATAGCCACGTCAACTGTCAAAGTCTCTTTGAGGCTTCAATAATTTTTGGACTACTGGCTAACTTTAGTTGCAGTTTATATCATAGTTATTAAATCCGGCCCGGAGGGGAACTCGGCGAAAGAGGTGGGTGAATGGGTTACTGGTTCAATCAGTGGGTGAGTGGTTCAACCGGTGGATCACAAAATATATTTAAATATTATGTTTCATAATTTTTGATATGGTTAAAACTATAATAAATTATGTCATAGTAAATGCTCAATTAGTCTAATTTATTATAGAATCATTAATTCTTATAAGAATTAACAAAACCTAAATTCAATTAGTAATCCATCAAATTTCAAGAATAAAATTTTATCTAAGTATAATTATCTAGTTTATTTATGAATTTTAAATGCAAAGAATTATTAGGAACGATATTTGCCTTTAGAATGAATTATGTGATATGTTATTTTTTAAATTCATTTCATAATTTATAGAGTCTGGGGAGTAATAAAATTTATTAAAAGATTCCAAATAAATTATGTTTTGGAAAATTAAAATAAGAGTAAGTCTAATATATAATATAAAAAAAGACTAAATGATAAACAAGTGGGCTGTTGGTGTAGCGGTTGTTGCATTTCCTTAAATACAAGAGGTTGTTGGTTTGAAGCTTCACTCTAGCATCTTCCAAATATTTTTAACATGCAAACCCGGTTTCCTACAAAACCGGACGGTTCTCCGAGTTTGACCGGTTGAACCGTCGGTCCGTTGAAAAGTCAACGGTTCACTTGTCAAAACGATCTAATTAATGAACCGGCCCGGCTCAATGGCCGGTTCACCGGGTTGACCGGTCGAACTATCGGGCCGGGCCGGATTTAATAACTATGGTCTATATATGTAGGTCATGTTGATGTATTTACCTTGAAAATATGCATCAGGCTCAGTGACGAATTCAAAAGTTTAGTGGGAACGAATCATCAATGATATTATAGCAAATAAAGCATATTAAAAGCAAAATGAAAGCACAATAAATTATAATTAGAAGCAAGAATTTTTTTTAAAAAAAACAATGTATAAAGAAAAATGTGAAAATTGGACTCTATGCCATTCTATTTACTGTCAGGGTAAGGCATTCAAAATCGTAGTTGAAACTTCTTTAATTTGTACGATAGTTAGAATATATATATATATATATTTTTTTTTTGTTTTCTTTGTTTTTGATTTCCTATGTAACATATACAGTATTACCTTAGTTTCTATTGTAAAATTATAGTTATCAAAGAAACAAAGAGTTGGTTTGTTATAAGAAACTCGGAGAAAAGAAATTTTTATATTTTTTATAATTATTATTCAAAAATAATACTAACTGTATAGTAATGTAGACATGAATGGCATACTTTTATAAGGAAACTAATTGTTAGTTTAAAATATGACACTTTATCAAAAGAAATTAAACAAAGTAAAGAAAAAATAATTTTGTTTAGGGGGATAACATAATAAAATTTTAGTTGACAACTAAAATTATAGGGAGAATTTTAAAATTTTTAAAACTTTTGGAGGGCCTCCGATAAATTATTTCGATACTACAATTTGTATTAAAGCATAGGTACAAAAGTAGGACAATCAAAACAGTTTCCATGTTCCTTTTTCTCCTTATTTTCTGGCTTTACTAATTTTAGTGCATTGTTACCACAAAAATATTAATCCTAATATATGTGCTTAGAACGAGTGAATTTATCTCTCATAGCAATATCTGACTTTGAACAACGTAGTTTATACAAAAACTATAAAAAAAATCCAAAAAAAAGACAAAAGAAGAACTTTCCTCTCCCCAAATTCCAATTCTCATTTTAACTTGTTAATTTTATGTTTATGTAATTATCTTCATAAATTGTTTCAAATCATTTCTGAGGTTAAAATTTCTCAATAATGAAGCCAAAAACGAATAAAAAATTCTTTTCGAAATCAGATTCCTGAGTCTTCCATTGTTGACTTGTCAATGTAAACGCTGCAAAAGTGAAATATGCTTTCCAAGCCTGATATTGATAGCCACATCTCCTGTCAAGCTTTATATCAACTGTGCATTTCTTCCATCCAGCTCTATATATGAATCTGCAACATAGCCGAATGCAACGTATTTCTTCCGACATTTCACATGATCATGGGTGGATCAACCCATTTCTCTGTTTTCTTACTCGTCGCAATAATTTTTACTCTGTTCTTCAAGCAAAACTGTAAATGCAATGCTATGCAAGTGAGAAACAAGCTCTTATGGACTTCAAGAAAGACTTGGAAGATCTCTCTGGTAGACTCTCGTCTTGGATACACGACGTTGATTGCTGCAAATGGGAAGGAGTTGTTTGTAGCAACCGAAGTGGCCGCGTGATTCAACTTCACCTTCAGAGGCCTGTTCCTGAAATTCATGTCGTTGGTGATGAGGAAGAATCACCATTAAGCGGTAAAATCAGTCATTCGTTACAAAATTTGACTCACTTGCGTTACCTTGATCTAAGTCTAAATGATTTCAGTGGAATTCCAATTCCCAGTTTTTTTGGGTCTCTCAGAAGTCTAAGGTACCTGGATTTATCTGGAGCTGGATTTCAAGGAATGGTTCCCTATCAGCTTGGAAACCTATCAAGTTTACGCACTTTAAGCATAACCTGCAGTGTCTATTCGTCCGATCTTCAAGTTGATAACCTGCAATGGTTGGCTGGTCTCTCGAATCTGGAACACCTAGACATGAGTGGCGTGGACCTTAGTCTAGCGTCTAATTGGCTAGAGGTGATTAACACGATCCCTTCTTTGGTAGAGGTACATTTGTCCTCTTGTCAGCTTGATTTAATTTCTCATTATCTTGGCAGAGATACATTTGTCTTCCATGCCAACTTTTCTTCTCTTACTGTCCTAGATCTTTCTAGAAATAGAAATTTTCTTGGACACCTCATCCCTAGATGGATTTTCGGTCTTACTGCCCTTGCTTCCCTTGATTTAAGTTGGAACTCATTTGAAGGCCCATTGCCCAGAGGTCCTTGGAACTTGACTTCCCTCCAGCACTTGGATCTTTCTGTCAACTATCTGAATGGTTCACTATCAGATGAGCTTATTCATCTTAACAATCTCATTTCTCTCAACCTTTCGGGAGAAATATTTCGAAGGCTTCTTGGATGGAATTTGGAATTGGAGTTCCCTTACATCTTTGAATCTATCATATAATAACTTCGCCACCTTCCTTCCAAGCCAATTATCAACCTATATAGTAAAAGCGTGAATGGGTTCGGTGGTTGCTGTGCTGACGTGGATGTATTTTATTGGCTGGAGTTTGGTCGTCAATCACGTGCGACTCGTGTGCTTTCGCTGGGAGGAGAAGTGCAATTCTTCTTGTTGTCCGAGAATGAGGACTTTGGTTTTATTCTTTGGTTCTCCATGTGTGTGTCTTCTGAATATTTTTTTGGCTTATAGTGAAAGGACTGATGGGATCAATACCACTCCAATTTACGGGGCTCAAGGTAACCACTACCATCAATCTATTCCCACCTTTTTCTCTCTCGTCTTTTGACAAATAATTATGCTGAGCAAACAAGTTTCCTCAAGGTAACCATCTCTCTCTCCGGAACCAATGAATCACAATGTTCCAATTTAACACCCACTTCTTCTCATTTTCGCAATCTTTTCCGGGTAGCTTCCAGATCTGCTTATTCTCTTGTAAGTTCTTCTTCATCAATAAATATTATTGGTGGATTCTGCTTTCAAATTTTTTTCTTTTGCAAATAACTCTCTCCCAATGCTTTCACTTTGACTACCAAGATTAACCCAAAAAAATTACGTCTAATCATTCTGGAGGGGAAACGAAAAGAAATGAAGCATTTGCATGGTAATCGAGTGACTTTTAAGGTTATCCTGTTATTTTGTAGATATTTCTTGGCTGTGAATTTTTCTTTTTCATTTTTAAAATTTTATGATATTAGGTATCATTTGGTGATTATTTTGTTTTTTGGCTTTTTTGTGTGTATTATGACTGGTAAAGAAATAGAGGAGTTCACAAAGAGAACTACACGCAGTTGGTTTCTTCAGGTTGTTTATTGCTTGGTGTGGTTATACGGTAGTCTTTAAAAGATTTTTTTTGAGGGTTTTCTTGTCTAACTTTATGTTTGTTGTGATATTGCAGGTTCAGATATGGAAAATCTTTTGCAATGTGTCTTGCCTACGGTTTTTCATATAAATAGTCCAAGAAGATTATTCTCATTGCTTAAAGGGTTTGTTCTTTCCTCCCCTGCCTAAACGTCTCAGCCTTTTTTCCTTTTTGTTCTCCAGTTTAGTTGTCTAACATTGTGGCTTGTTGTGGTTTTTTTTTCCCTTTGTAAGATAATTGGGTTGTTCAGATCTTCTCTCTCTGCTTGATCTTCTTTAGCTCCAGAAGCAAGGAAATTTGCAGAATCTATCTCCAAACTATCTGGTTCTTTGTTGCTCTTAATCTTTATTTCCTTTCTATATTTATTGTTTTATTCCCCAAAAATTTTCACCTGGTTAATATATAAATTTTGCCTATATTGTTCCTTATTTCTTTATCCATGCTTTCTCACAAGACAGATGCAGCCAAGAGAGATCATCACCGAGAAACATTGCGGGCAATTTTGCATCCTTGGGTTTCGTCCTTCTTCATCTCAGGTTTTCTCTATTTTATTTTTTCATTTTTTTAACTTTTGTACTCTTTTTTAAGTAGTTTCTATGTTACTTGTTTCTTTCTTTTGGGTCTCTAGAGCCCCCTGTACAAACTTGTATGATATTTATTATATATGGAAAAATTACTTGGTAGAGAAATTGAAGGAAAAGGTTGTCGATAAACTCTGGAAAATGGAGTTTTCATGGCTCATCTGATGATTTTTTTTCTTTTTTTTTTGGTTTGTTATGTGTAGGGGTACGTTCAATTATTGACTCACAAAAGACGATCCATATGGTAACCAACCCAAAGTCTCCATTTGTGGAGATCAAATTTCATGTCAATGACTGTTAAAAACTTTAGTTTTTTTTCGTGTCTTTATTTTTGAGAAAACTATTTTTCTTATTTTTTCCTCTTGTGAAGTTTTGGTTCTCATTTTCCGGATAGTGTATATGGATTCTTTAAAACAAAAAAAAATACTTTTGTGTTTTCTTAGCTGTTTTTTTCAACAAACGTTGTGTTTTCTTAGTTGCTGATAAAAGCACTGGAACTGATCAAGGAGATACTCGTTTTAAGAAGAAATAATAAAATTACATAGTCCTATGCGATATTTTTTTTGGAGAAAAATTTGTGTGAGTTGCATTTATGGTTGTAGAAGTAGTTATTTTTTTTTTGTCAAAATTGTAGAATTAGTTATTAGAATGATTGAAAAATTGGATTTTGATCGACTCATTATAGATGGTAAGAGCTTGAAAGTAAAATTGGATTTCTACTATTGTTTTAGGTAGAATAATTTCAAATGTATTCCACTTTGAATATGTCTGAAGAGCCAAGTTTTATTTGATTTAACTGTTCCACTGATGATGCATTATCCTGTTGGGTTTAATTATTCTTGCTGGCTTTGGTTAAGATTGTCTTTGTTGCTTTTTCGGTTCTTGAGATATTCCTTTTCTTTTGTTTAGAACATTAAAAGTAGAAGTGTGAAGATGCTCATGGTTAGTTGCATTAATATCATCAAGAAATTTTGTCAGATCTCATTGCTTTTGGTTTCTCCTGAGATACTGTCTTGTCCTTTTACTTATTTATTTGCTTATTTTGACTTTCGGACTATTATTATAGGTTGGTATAAATTGCTTTTTTTTTTTCCAAAATTTGATATTTCTGATCAGAATTAAGTGTTCCATAGAAATTCAAATTCCTATGATATTTTCTTGAGGATTTTTTTGTTCAAATGTTTGGTAATCTGGTTTATGACATTGCTTTTGTCTGTAGCTTTTAACTTGGAGTTTTGTCTATAGAGAAGTTTTTCAAAACCGTCGTTCACTGCTGGATAGGTATTTGCTTTCAGCCTTTCACGGGAACGAGATGGGAGTCTGAATGAAGCTGGAGCTCTCTGATGCTATTAGTCATTGAAAGTCTAGAATCATTTTGCTTGTGGCCAATTAGAAATACTTTGTTCTTTTCTTTGTCAATTTGTTCAATTGGCACTGGTATATGGTTTGGTCTCACTAAGTAGATTTTCTTTTTATACTGCATGTATATGCATTTTATTATTTGTTTGAATATATTGTAAAGGAAACTTATTGCTGTTAAATATCCTTTTCTAGGAACTGACAACTTTGATTTGTGATTTTTATCAACAAAAAACAAACTTATAGCTATTAAATGCCTTTTTTAGGAACTAACAACTCACTGTTGTATTTCTTCAACTATATTTTTTTCCTTTCTCCTCCATTGCATGTGTCTTTTTTTATTTCTATTTTCATTCTATGCAAAAGCAAGGAGCATCTTAATGCTCTTAGTAGTCTACTCATTGTATTGTCTTGCATTTCCTTAATAGATTATTCATATTCACTGCTTAATAAAACTACAAAAACAAAATGGCAAAGTTTTTGGTGCATCTTTTTGTAACTTTTCATACTTAATATTTGAATTTGAATCATTGGGCATTTCTGGGCAACCTTGAAAATTACACCGCGTATCGCGCGGTGTACTCCTCCTAGTCCACTCTAACTTCCCTAATTTCACTTGCTCTTGGCGACAATCACTTTCGAGGTTCTATCCCAAGCTCTATTGCCAACATTTCCAACCTTCAATATCTTTATCTGTTTCATAACAACCTTAGCTCCTCTTTACCAAGTGAAGTATTCACATCGAAGGACTTGATTACACTTGATGCGGGCAGTAATCACTTGAATGGTCCAATTCCAAGGGCAGTTGGCAACTGTACCAAGCTAGAAATCCTTTTGCTACATAATAATGCTCTGTCTGGTTCAATTCCATCAAATTTAGGAAGATGTGCCCAGCTCAAAGAACTTTGGCTAAATGATAATGCTCTATCTGGCTCAATTCCTTCAAATTTAGGAAGATGTACCCAGCTCGAACACCTTTTGCTAAATGATAATGCTCTATCTGGTTCAATTCCATCAAATTTAGGAAAACTGTCATCCTTGGAGTTTTGGGATGTATCTCACAACAAACTCACTGGAACTCTTCCTGAAAGTCTTGGGCAGCTTTCCAAACTTGAAGAGCTTTGTATTTACAACAATTTAATGGAAGGCATTATGAGTGAGAGTCACTTAGACAATCTGACAGCTTTAAGGTATTTTGATGCATCTGAAAACTCTTTGACCTTAAAAGTAAGTGCAAGTTGGACTCCTCGTGCCCAATTTGAAACACTTGCATTGAGTTCGTGGAAGCTGGGTCCCCAATTTCCTACATGGATCCGATCACAAAAATTCCTTCAGTATTTGAACTTGTCATTCACGGGAATTTTAGATACCATTCCACCTTGGTTATTCAACTTATCATTGGATACCGTAGACCTTTCTCACAATCAAATCCATGGTAAGAGTTCAAATATCTCTGAAGTTGTTAAGGGTTTATATGTGCATTATATTTGAGCACATTCAAAATTATATTCAACCCATCATTGGTCCTTCTTGATTATTCAACCCATCATTGGTCCACGTGGAACTTTCTCAAAATTAATTTTATGGTAAAAGTTCAAATATCTCTAAAACTGTTAAAAGGTTTATATGCACACAACAATCAAACACATTCAATTGCCTACACACCCAATTAATTTATCATTGATTGACATATTTAGAACTTAATTTCCAACTATTTATTTTCAGGAGGCATCTCTCACATTTTGTGTGAAGTGAAGAATGAAAATCAAGTTCTTCAATATCTGGATCTTCGGGAGAATTCTCTATCAGGAGAAATTCCTGACTGTTGGATGAATTACCCATTCGTGTATCACATCGACCTCAACAGCAATAACTTCACTGGAAGCATTCCAAGGTCATTGTTTCATTTGGAAGGTCTGGACTATTTAGGCTTGGGTAATAACAGCCTCACTGGTCCGATAACCTTTGACTTTGAATAAATAAGTTTGGAATTCGGAACCCTCCAGCAGAGTTGTGGTGATGTAATTGCAGGTCAAGCTGCAATCCCAAATCTTTCATATATAGAAAATGTTGTAATTTTTAACAGTCGTTAATGGATTCTCTCCTTTTCTTTCACATATATTAATTATTAAACACTCAATTATATTATATGTAAATTAGATTGACAAGCTAACATATATTTTCTTTCTTTCTTTTTTTCTTTGTACATTTCAACAGATTATCAATCCAGTTCGAAATGAAATATCTATTATATAAAATTATTTATATTTTGAGATAAAATTTTTTACATACATGAACATTATAACAATTAATCACTTATCCTTGGAAATTAGGTTCTATTATGAAGGGGAGGCACAAAAAAATTCAGAATCCATAGAAGTACGTCGTATTGATACTTACATTCATTAGTTATTTTAACCACAATTTTTAACTAAAAGCATTTCAAACACATGTCCACAAGTATTGCAATAATTTATGCACAAAGTGCGAGGCATGCCCAAAATTATAATCACAATAAAATAATCAATAATTATACACTTACTGATAGGTTGCAATTTTATCATTTATTTTATTATTAATTTTCCCTATTACCTGACCTAATGTGGATTAATTGCTAGATTCTACTCACTTTTGATATTTTGCATTTATTTCAGGAAGTAGAACGAAAATATAATAACAGGTGCTAATTTGGAAAGAAAAGAGTTCAGATGATAGAGTTTGTCCTAGGGGCATTTTGGGAACACAAAAAAGACGTGAGCCCTTCGTAATTTGGGCTGAAGTCTTCCTTTCTCCTGGGCCGCCGCACATCTGAGGAAGGCAGAGGATAATAACCAAAGAAATAGCAGAGAAAGAGGACGGGTGGTTTCTGGAGCTTTTCGTCCTGTAGCTTGAGCTTTTCACTTTGACTTTTCCATGGCCGTTTTGAGTAGTGGCTCCCTGCGGATGGCAGGGACCATTAGAATGAAACAATCACTTTTGTAGTTTAGCTTTTCATTTGATGATTCAAACGAATTGGGTCCACTAAATCGGAGACCATGGCCGCAGCTTTTGCGTCATTTTTGTATGGGTTTTTCTCATCAACAATGAGCTAAACTCTTTTATCTAGTCAAGGGACAACGGATGCTTTGGGTCATCTAAAATTGTGAGATCGA